GCAGTCCCAGTTTGTTTGTGTCTGTGTGTTTAAAGGAAATCGACACGTCTCCTGTTGCTAGGACTGATATTTGGGCTTACACTATGGCTCAGTCCTGAATGGAACTCTCACTGCATGGGTTTGGTTTCATGTAACATGTAACCATGTTACATGGATAAAACTTTGCAAAAATTGCCAGCATTTGGAGCAACACTTTAAAGCACGCGTTGGCTCAGGTAACATGGCTTGTGTCAGATGATCATAAAAAGTAGGCTGGTAAGAATTTGGATGGTCCTGATGTTCACTCTTCACTTTAACAAAGACATACCAGACTAGTAGACCATGGCCTAAAATTTTAAGGTCCTTTTTTTCATTTATTTAATGATTTGCTTTTTTTGCTAGCACTTACTTTTATATATTTTTGAGCTAGCTGTACTGTGCTTTTAAAAGTTTAGAAACCTTGATAAAATGCTAATTTTTATCTCTTAGGTAAAGTGATGGGTTGAATTCAGGTTACAAAGTATGCTATAAAAGTGTCAGGAAAAGGACAGAAAAAAAATCCCTCAGTAGCTGTGTTTCCATTAACCATAGAATTGTGCAAGTTGAATATTTAAAAATAAATTTGATCTATAGAAACATCCCAATTTTGAATAAACTCTGTTTTTGACAAGTTGTTGCACTGGGATAAGGTAGTTTTTCAGCTATATCAATAGATAAATTTTACTGATAGACTTTTTATAGCATCACATGAGTCATGGTCAGCTTAATATTACTGGTTTGTAGTTATTTTTAGGGGTTTTTTGATCCAGACAGTGTGCAGCTGGTCTACCAGAGCTCTCACAGCATGGCATATTTCATAAAAAGTTGTGTTACATTTGAATGTGTTGAATCTTATCTAAGCAGCTGCTCCTAATAAGGGGCTTGTTGCTCCAAAGCCCAAATAAAACACTGATGTCTCCCCTGATGGCTGATAGATGGTGAACGCTAGCACCCTGGCTGAATTCTGATTATATTTCATGTAACTATTTGCATCCGTTGCTGCCATGGATTTTAATGACTTACTGTGTGAACAAGTAAGTCATTACAAGTGAAAAATCATAAGTGAAACTGCAGAATATTGATAAAAGATTTGTGCACATTTGTAGTGGAAACACAGCTAGTCTTACATGTACTCTGTCCGAGAGTGAAGACAGCCACCAATAATGAGTGAGACAACAGAGATATTACTGTAGCTAGAGCCTTCTTTTAAATTAATAAAAATATGAGTCTAAAACTGTAGAATCAAGCAGCCAATTGGCTAAGATCATTATAATGTTCTATGATGAACTCAAAATTGTTGGGCCTCAAGTCCAAACAGTATTTTAACCAAAAATCAACGCTGCTTATCCATGAAAGAAGACCTCTGCCAGTGAAAGACAGTGGTGGCAGGATCATGCACTGGGGTTGCTTTTCTTCAGCTGGAATGTTTTCTGTATGTTACTTCTGGCTCAAAACCTTCTGATGTGAGCTCAGAATTTGGGGATCAAGAGTATTCTCTTATCTAGCATCTCAATGGCAGCGATCACACTTAATTTTTATTTTCTTAATTCTTTGCTTTTCTTTCTGTTTCTCTTTGCTTGTTTCTAGTTGAATTGTGCAGGACGGAAGTCAGTATTTTTCTAAAAAGTACAAATAAAAAACAAATTATTTATGGTTGTAATTTTGAATAAATCTTGGCATTGTAGCAAGGCTTTTTAGAGCCACTGTAGCATCTGAAGAATGTGTCATGTTCTGCAATCAACATAAATACAAAAACATGTATCTGTGGAAAACAAATGACACCACCTCCAAACACACAAGCTACTCTGTAAAGGTGTTAAAGACAGGTGATCCGTGCTGAACAGTGGAAATTACTCACAGCTGGGTCAACTCCATGTGAGCACACAGACAGAAAGGATGATCAGCTTCCTGTTTGCTCTTCTTTGTGCAATGGGTAGAATACGTGTTGACACCTTCTCTATTCTCTCTTTCCTCTGAAATTGTTTGAGCTCTCATGATGCCGGTCTTCCTGCTGTTTATTGATACATATATGGCTCACTGACAGCAGAGCACCGTGTGAGGGCGGGGGCTGGTGTCGGATACTGCACGTTTTCTTTTTTTTGTTTTGTCTGTCACTGAGCCAGAGTTGTGCACGGTGTAAAAACTGTCCATGCAGCGATGTCAGCTGCTGATCCTGGTATTTGGGATATGCTGTGCTTACTTAGAGCAATTTGGACTGCAATGAATCATCTTCAGTGCAAAATCTGAAAGACTGCAACTGTTTTGGTCACCAGTGGTTTTAGCTTAGAACCCTTGGATGGAGGCCATTTTTGCCCAGTTTTTACTATTGTTGAATCATGAACACTGACTTTAACTTGATGGAGTGAGGTCTGTAGAGCTTTAGATGTTGGCAGATTCTTTTCTGTCTAAAGTGAACTCTAAGCAGAATGTTATTTGAATCAGAGGGCTGCTGATTATTCTGCTGGACACCACCACAGAAATGGCACACATAACTACGAGCATCAAACTTAAAACCATGTGCTAATTGGAAACTGGGCATTGTGTGTCACACAGTATATTTCTGTTTAGTTTGCACTTCTGACAACTCTAAAACCTAAATAGTGGTTCTCAAATGGAAGCAAAACTATAAAGATCATTTTTCAGTTAACATGTCTAAGCATATTTGGCTCTTGTGAAACAGATTGAGCAGTTACTGGACCTCTGGACCAGTTACCTCTCACTGTCTTCAGTTATCATAGGACATTTGCTGTCTAATCAATTTTGAAAAAAATAAGTATCTTTCAAAGGTATGTACTTTACTAAACATGGAGCAAATAAGACATACTTAGTTTGGATCAATGATTTATCATACTCTGCATGCTGTTATCTGAGAGGACATTAGAGAGCTCAATATCTCTGCTAAACTCTGGGAACTCAGAAGACTTTTTTATCCCTGAGGGTACAGCTTGTCCTCACCTCTATGAAATTTTCCATCTGCCAGTTCTTTGTACAATTGATAATCAGACATATTTTGACTTACCGGGCTACTTTATGGTCGAGTCTTTGACTGAGTTCAAGTAAAGATCCAACTTTCCATGCCTGATCTGTTAATCTCAGGTCAGCATATGTCCATCCATGAAAACTCCTAATTCTTCTTTATCCAAACTGTTGCTCTTTGAACAACTCCCACTTCACACCTAAACACTGCTCTGCTCCAGTTTAGCTGAATAAACTGTGAACTGTTGTTTTTAAACTGCCCTGGATGTGCTGTAGAGGGAGAGGGAATGTTTTTGTGATTGGCTCATGGAGGAGTGGGAGGAGCCACTTCATTGTCTCATTTGGCTTGTGGTTTAAAGCTCCATGTTCTTCTTACAAAGTCAAGACTATCAGATTTCTTCTGCATTTACAGATATAAACAACTAAGGTAGCAAGGAGAGTGGGCATGACTTACAGTCATGTAAAAAAAAACACCCACAGAATATTCAGGTCTTACTAAAGAAGTAAACACTTCTTTAGTAAGACCTGAATATTCTGTGGGTGTTTTTTTTTTTTTTTCATGTCGATGTTTGATCTCATACTTTATCTGCGGAAATCAGATAAAGAACTGGATCATAAACAAAACATCTCAACAATAATGAGTACAGTGGACCTCCATCTATTTCCAGTTCAGTGTTCACAGATTTTTCTGTGGAGTGTAACTCCAAATTATTTGTGGTTAATTCACCTATTCATGCATATGGATTTTTTCCATGAATAGGTGATATGTCCCATTCATAGGACATATCTAAATTATTCATATAAAATGCAGCTGTGAATCAGCATTTCAATCAAGGAGTGCCACTTGTTTTTTGTGTGTGTGTGTTGATTGGCTGTACCCCCAAGAGCAGAGACAAAGAAGACCATAGATGTTAGGTCTTATGGCAGTGCTAAGACAGTTTCAAGTCAGTGGTATATTTGGTGTTTAAATAAGCAACAATAGTCATCTTAAGATGAGGACTCTATTTACAGGTATTAGCTGTTTGGCTGTGGTTCCTAACTTGCCTGAATGTCAGGGATCCTCTGTTTACTGAGAAAAATGTATGGACACACCACTCACCAATAGAAGAGTTAACCTTCTTTAGCTAAAAGGAGGTTTTAACTAAAGTTTCAGTTGGTCACATATAGCATCCGCCTGGCACCAATAGACATGTTCAAAGTTTTTTCCACTCCTCACTATCACCTGTGAGATATTTGAGAAATTTATTTTTTTATTCATGTCCAGCATGTTTTTTGAGTAACTCTGTAACATGAGAAAAAAAAATCCTATATCCCTTCCTCATAATTTCCTGTGGTGTCATAAAGTATCACCTAAAATGCTGGATCTGGTAAATGCCAGATGCATTTACCAGATGCATCTGGCATTTACCAGATGCATCTGGCATTTACCAGATGCATTTGGTAAACAAACTAAACTTATGGTTTAGTTTATTTGATTTTAAACTAAACCATTGAAAGACTATTCCTCCGGAGGTCCTGATCTCTTTCTAAGTTCATGCTGGTGCCTTCAGTACCCCCTACATCCAACTCCTAAATAAGGCAACATCTGTATTCCTTACATGTTGAGGTTTTATGATCATTAAGAGTTATTTGAACTCAAAATGTTATACTTCTTAATTGCCAGTTATTCTGATGTGCCTCCCAGGCAACTTCTGTCTCTGGAGATATTTACACAACTCTCAAATTGTAAAAAAACCTACTCTGATTAACAGTCAGCCCATAAATATTTCTTCAAACAGTTCATTATTTTCTGGGGCCCAGAAGTTGCGCTATAAGAACAGACTCCTGCAGCTATTTATTCATGTCATTTATTTTGATAGTGAAAGGGTGAACAATGTAAGATTTGCTTTAGTTTCATGCTAGTTGCCCCAGAATAAGTTCACAAATAAACTTTCAAATTTTGAGTGATCCATCTCTTTCAGGGGTTCTGCTCACTGTGCTTATTGGTATTTCGTTTTTCTCTGCAGACATATCATAACGGAGCTGATTGAATCAGAAAGAATTTATGTGGAGGAATTACAGAGCATCATGGAGGTACAGTATATGTGCAGTCTCAGTAATGTCTTTTTGTTTCCTTATATCCAAGTAGATGTCAGGATCTTGGGTTGTTTTGGAGTTTGATGTATTGATTTTAGTTTCATTATTATTCCGTGTTCCTTACGCGCTTTCATAAGATCAGCCTGGTTTAGATTTACCTTAGTCAGTTCTTGTTTGTAGTTTATTAAGTTTGGTTATTTGTTGTGTCTAGTTATTTGTTACTCATTATTACAGCTCTCTCTCATATCATAGTCTCAATCTGTTTATATGAAACAATGGACAGATGACACAAACTGGAAACAAATGGGGGGGAGTATTGTGATGTGTTATAAACCTTGGGAGCTTTTTTATTTATAGCTTAAATACCTTTACTGTGCTCGGGTTCATCTCGGCAGATAAAGCTCTTCTTGTGCATTCTGAGTGCGCATGTAGCTAGAAACACATCTTCAGATTTATAGTAGTTGAGATAAAACATTTTCTCACCTTCCCAATATTCTAGGGCAGGGGAGTCCAACTCCAGTCCCCAAGGGACACCGTCCTGCAGTTTTTAGATGTGCCACAGGTACAAAACACTGGAATGAAATGGCTTAATTACCTCTGTCTTATGTAGATAAGTTCTCCAGAGCCTTGCTAATGACCTAATTATTATATCCAGATGTGGTGCTGCAGAGGCACATCTAAAAGTTGCAGGGCAGTGGCCCCCCAGGACTGGAGTTTGACACTTGTGTTCTAGGGATTACTATATGTGTCATGTTGTGTGTAGTAGTTTACTCAGTTGCAGTAGGTAGGGTATGGAGAGAGAGTTAAGAATTTGATGAAATCAAGAATACAATTTACAAAAAATTTAAACATCCAGGGTAACACAAAATAATCCAACAAAGCCACGCAAGAAACCATCAAACATCAGGAGGAAGAGTCGAGCGTGACAAGGAATAACAGGACAAACTGGCAAGTTGTGACTGAGAATGAGGAGCTTAAATACTGGGAAATTGAGTGCTTGAATTTAAGACCTGGGCTGATGAGCTAAGTATTTGGAGCAGGAGCCAGGATGAGGAAGGGGAAAGAGAAAGTGACACAGGAGAGCGAGACTGAATCAGTCATGTGGTTCGTCCCGAATATGAGGCTTTGTCACCGCTTGCTCCATCAACACAGGCCTCGATACACGTTTCTTAAAATTCCTCCTGGATTACTTGACAGATTCACAGATTATCTGTCTCATAACAAACTGCTACGACATCGTAACAGCTTTAACAATTATGGAGAAAACATATTTTTTATTAAAGTTATGTACTGCAGCTTGAATAAAATGCAACTACATAGCATTTTTGAGAAGTCTAGATTGCTTTATGTACGTTATGCACGTTGCTTTTGACTGTTGCTCATGGGGAGAGACAATTCAGTAATCTAATACTAATAGAAAAGGGAACTTCCGGAAGCAAATGGAGTAGACGGTTGTGTCAGAGCCTCTCTCCCACGTAGCGTTGCCACCCGTCCCGTAAAATACGGAATCGTCCCATATTTGGCTGTTCAATGTTGCGTTCCGTACTGAACCGAAACGGGACGCAATTTGTTCCGTTTTTCTATAAATGTCCGATAGACTTGCCTATCACACACATATTAACACTCAGAGTAACAATAATGACCAAAATAAAACACAGGAAATATTAAGACCAGTCTATGGTTGCGGGAGCTAAAGGACCCCTGAACGCTACGGGCCGACACTGTTGTCACGGTTGCCTAGAGACGGACACTGCCAGCTGCGGTGAGGTGCTGTCAACCCGCGTCTTTTTAAAACGTCCTCCTCCCAATTCTCCACTGTTCTTAGAAGTAAAACCTCTCATAAAGATACAGACGTGAGAAGGAAGACACAAATCCCAGGCTGAATAATGTTAGTGAGGATGAACACATGCAATTAAAAAAAAAAACAGTATGTGTCCATCGTGGCGCAGTGTGCTGCTGTATGAATGGATCAGGAGAGGACCACAGCAGACCCTGATATGGTAACATTTTGCTATGATTAAGTTTCTTATTGTGCTTTTAGTCGATTATATTGGTTTGATTATTTGCTTATTTAATGTATAATAATATCAGCCAAAATAATACAAATGATCATTTAAAGAACAAATCATACATTAGATCAACAGTAAATGCATAAATACTTCCTACTTTAAAAGGTTTGTAAGGGCTTTCTGTATGTTTTATTTTGAAATGTTTATATATTTTATGAATTTATTGTTCAGTGGTCATTTCACAGATCTGTAGCCCAGGGGCGGTTCTAGATGGGGGCCAATGGTGTACCAAAGAAGTTATACTAAATAAATGTCTTATATTAATACTCAGTGGTGGATTTTTTTTAACCTTCACAATTTTACTTCAACAATGAATTAAGAATTATAGTGCTGCACTTTTATCTGCTGTATAGGATCACACTTTCCATCTGCCAGGGATCTGCAACCTGGATCTCTGGAGACACACATGCCTCTTTGGCTCACTTAATATATCAAATGATGAAATATTGCAGTTTTTTTGTTGTTGTTTTCTTTTTCATTCTTTTTCAAGTGTTGCCATGGAAAACACTGGCTATCCTGGCCCCTGTGGTAAATTTGGTCTAGAACCAGCCTCCAAACCTAACACCTTATTTATATAAATATTTTGGTAATACTCTGTAAAATACCAGAATAACTTCAAACTTTTAAACTTTTGGCTGTAAATCAGGTGTTATGATCAGTTACTCAGTACTTCGGTAGTTTACCAAATGCTTTTTACACTTGCTTAATTAAACGTATTTAAAGTATATGTAACACAGATGGGAAGGGTATTATATATTCTAGATCAAGGGTGTCCAAAGTCGGTCCAGAAGGTAATACTATTGTGCAAATTTTTACAAATGCTTATACTCACCTTCCATGTAAAACCGTTTCCAAACTATATAAGGGGTTGCAGAAACATAATGGAAATAACACCTTGAATATTAAGTCAAAATGGGAAAGTGAATTGGGAGTGAAAGTTTCAGAAGGTGATTGGCTTTCAATGTGTGTGACATAACAGACATCTACCAGTTCTAAAAGATGGAAGGAATATGGATGGAAGTGCTTAATTAGATACTTTATTACAACTCAAATTACTAGTAGACATAGAGGAGAAGAACAGCAATGTTGGAGACATTGTGGCCATCTGAACGTCAATCACTCATGTATTTTGGTCCTGCCCAAAGTTGGCACCTTACTGGGATGGAATCTGTCAGACTACTGGCATAATTTTGGGGTATGTCATCCCCAAAGGCCCCAGAATTTTTCTGCTGGGGCTGTCAACTGGAGAAGTGTTTCAAAAAGATGTTGAGTATCTTTTAAAATTCTATCAATTGCAAGGAAAAAAGCTATTACAGGGTCTTGGCTAAAGAAACTCCCTCCCCAGCTGGACCATTGGCGGGAAGTCGTGGAAAAACTGACATATCTTTTACATATAAAAGGACATTCTTACAACAAACGCTGGTCTAAATGGCTGGCATACAAGAGCAAGGAAGCGTAGCTATGTGTATCATCTTGTAGTGTTTTCTTTTTCTTTCTGACTATGAATCAGTACCCCTAGTTCTGTGTGCTGTATGTTTCATTGTAAAAATGAAAAATGCTAGAGTATAAAAATAAAAAAATAAAAAAAATAATAGAAAAAATTTGAGAAACCTACTTGCATATTGGATGTGGACTGTTGGATGTTAAATTCATGAGCAGTAAATATTGTGCTAATTATCAGTATTGAACCAAATAAAGCAAGGCAGATGCAAGCCTTTAAAATTGTGATGCTTTTTATGGGTCAAATAGACTCAAAAAATTGTAACAGCAGCTGCGCCAGGGGGGCCCAAACAAATTTTTTTGTCAAGGGGCCCACGATTCCTGGCGGTGCCCCTGTCATGCGGCCATGCCCTCTGGCCAGCGGTCTAACTAATGGAGATCAGGTTAAGCCAACTCCTTTATCTCTGGGTAAAGTTTCATGTTGATTTGGTCAACATAAAACTTTTTGAGTTTTATGTTTTATGCAGAAAGGAAGGAATTTGCCTTCCTTCCTTTCTGCTGGAAGGAAGGCAAATTTAAAAAATTGCCTTCCTGTGCAATTCTGCTTGATTGTAGTTTGTAACTTGTTTTGAACTTGTTTTGAAACTATAAAAGAGTCCCCGCCTCCAGGAAGCAATTGTTTTAAAGTAGACGAGGGTCTGGACCCTCTTGATGAAGCAACTAGCGTAGAACAAGGAGTTGATTTTTACCAGGCTACTGCAGAACGGGACAGGATGGTTTTGGCTCAGGTCAGTATGTTCCAGTCTACCCAACACCTAAAGGATATCTTAAATGTCATTCCAACAAAGGGAGACTCTTGACTTTTACATTTGTGAGAGATTGATGGAAAACCTACTTTGCCTTCTTTGACTACTTTTTCCTTCATTTTGTTCTGTTTATCTCTGTACCTGCTCCACAGGGCTATATTGCTGAGCTGAATAACTCAGAGATCTGTCACCTCATCCCCCCCACGTTAGAGAATAAGCAAGACGTACTGTTTGGCAACCTGCCAGAAATATATGATTTTCACAACAAGTAGGTAAAATTTTTTGTTGTCTGTCTTTGTGTTGGTATATTCTGATGTGAATAGACAGGGTTATTTACACAAATCACAGGGAAGACAAAGAAACCATTTATTTGGTTAGTAAGACAGTTATGTATGATTTTGTATGTGCTTGTGCTTTAAAAATGGTCAGGTAGCTGAGAAGCAGCTTATCTTGCACATTTATGATGGAAATGTTTTGTGAATATGGCTTGTGAGTACATTACTTTATCCACTGTCTACACTCACTTATCCTTGTAGAAGAGTACAATTCCTATCTCCAGTAGTTACTGAGCAAGAAGGGGGTTCACTATAGATAGATGACCAGTCCATTACAGGGCAATACAGAGATTCAAAAGAAAAACAAACATGCATGCACTCACTGCTAAGGACAATTGAAAGTGACCAATTATCGCAGCATCTGAAATGTCCAATTCAGTCCCATAGATGCTTTTTTAAAAAAAAATTATGTAAGATGTACATATGAAAACCTCTTAAGCCCGACGATCCCTCGTGAGGGATCTGTTTTCGGGTCTTTTCGGCTTTCTCCATAAACAACCGCTCCACGATACTTTTTTTTTTGTCCGATAGAGAAGGCTTTCATTATTCGAAAACTATCCCGCATCCAAGTTTTGCTCAACATGTTATGGTTTTACAGGTATTTCAGAACAGCTGTCCAGACTGAAAGGTCCTCGGAGATTTCATACTTTTCCTAAAACTCTCTTCGAAAACAACCCTTTTAGTTGAGCAGAGCTCTATCGACAAGAATCACATGACAGGAAAGGGACTGACCTTTGTAGATATCATATAATTGGCTACGTAAATTTACTACCGAGTCTGAATTTTGTCTGCGTAATGAGACCCTCTCTAGTGCGTAATTCGTGTGCCCTGCATGTGGTCTGTGTACGGAGATGTGTTTGATGAATACGGACTGAAAACGTTGGAGTTACGTCACTTTTCAGTGTTTGCATCCGCCTGAATAAAATGTAGTTGCGACCCTGCGGTGATTTATTTATGTTTTACTGAAAATGTTTTTCTTTTGTTCATTACTTTGTAGTAAAACACTAAATTTTTATGTAATTACTATTATTTTATTTTGTTAGCTATACTTCAAAAAGTTATTTTTTTACTGTCTTACTGCGTTTCAATAAAAGTTTTCCAGTTGGAGTCAAAGTAAGTAGTATCAGTTCATTATAATTATATATATTATACATTTATACATATAAATGTGGTAAATGTCATGACCAATGGTTAGATTATATGTACTAAGTTTCATTCAATGGTAATCAGTGATTTAATTTAAAGAAATTCCCAGTATTGATGTGAAAAACACATTTGGCACAGTTTGGAGACATTTTTGGATAAATGACCTCTCCACCTGGGACATTTCTCAGTAAAACATTTATAAAACACTATATTTTTCAACTGAGTGAGTCCAAATTTGGTGAACTTTTACCCAACATGTAGATCTAAAAGTCTAAACTACTTTTTTGTGTGAAAAATAATATTTTAGTGACGTTTCGCAATGTTTATTTATAACCAAATTTTTGTGAGGTAAAAAAATGCTACATTTATTGTATTTAATTCAAGCAGGATAAAGGCTTCAATAGGAAATCATTCTTTGATGTCTTACCTTTACAGAGGTACCAAAAGTTTGCACTTTAATCTGATAACTGTGAGGCTATTAGTGATTTATTTTTGGATGTTTACAAAGCCCTTTCCACCCTTAGGGCTTAACTGTCAGATGAAAATTATCTGGAACAGCCTTTTCTCTGATGGTTTTTTACACTGGAGCTGACAACATTTTAATAGGGATTTAAGGTGCATTCACATCAAACTTGTTTAGTCATTTTAATCAATCTCCATTTCATTTGCCTAGAAAATACGATATATTTGAGGAGCACAATTAAACTCTGATGCGGACCAAAAAAGTGAACTCCGGTCCGCCTACAAAACTTGGTCTCTGTTTGTTTGAAGTGAACTCTGGTGTGGTTCGACTGTATATGTAAATGCCAACCAGACTGAAGACTGCTACAAAAGCAGGAAGTGTACTATAGCACAGGGCATTTTGGGTAAATGTCACCAAAGCAAGTGTGTGTGTGTCTTGTGGTCTTTTGCTAAAGACAAAAGAGAAACCTACAGCAGCTAAAATATGACACCACTCCATTTTTGTCCTCATTTCATGAAAAAGAATGTTGTGTTCAGTATCTTCAGTTTTTTTTTTAGTTGATTATTTTAGTAGTTCTTGGTGCTGTGCCACCACAGGCAAGGGAGTGAACAGGTTGCTCAATGGGTTTGGCTCATTGGACACATGCAGTGAGAAAGTGAACCACATCAGCTGAAAATGTAACATTTGCAACTTTAATCACCAGTCGAACCAAGTCTACCAGACTATCAGGTGGGAAAATAACCCTATCATCCCATCTGTCAATAGAGCCAGCAGCAAGGATCATGATAATAGTAGAAGTATTTTATGAGCACACATAGTCAGGACAAAGTAAGTGGCTTCATTCACGAATGAATGGATGTACAACAGGTTTAGGTTTAGATAAGTTAAACCAGATAAAACTTATTTGGAGAACTGCTTTAAAATGATTTCTGAAACTGTTAAGTTACCTCAACATCCTCTGTTTAAAACTAGTTTTTAAAACGTTTTTTAACTCTGCAAATATGATTCTGATTTGCAGCATATGGATTCATGAAAATTGGTCTGGTAAGAGCCTGTGGAATAGCAAGAATTTAGTTTGGACTGTGTTTTATCTGCAGAACATTCCTCATGGAGCTGGAGAACTGTGCAGTGAATCCAGAACTGATTGGGACCTGTTTTCTGAAGAGGGTGAGTAGATGAACAGATTCAAACACTACAGTGATAGATTCGGCATGGGAGATTTGGTAACATATAGAAGCATAAACTGGAACCAGACAGACATTGCTATACACCATGATAAACATGGCATACCTGAAGTTGAGATGTGTGTTATATGTTTGGAGAAACAGAACATTTGGAAGACAAACGAAGGATCAGATTTTATTTTAATTCAGAGATGGATTAAAAATGGGTGAAGTACAACCCCTGGCAAAAAGTATGGAATCACCAGTCTTGGATTAGCATTCAGACATTTCATGCTGTAAAACAAACTCAGATCAAAAACATGATGCAATAATAAGGTAATTCCAAAGTGCAACTTGTTGGCTTTCAGGAACACTCAAAGAAATGAAGAGAAAACATTGTGGAAGTCAGTGAATGATACTTTTATTGACCAAGCACAGGGAAATAAATATGGAATCACTCAATTCTGAGGAAAAAAGTGTGGAATCACTCAAATTGGAGGTAGAAAAAAAAGGACACACCCAGTCTATTTCCTTTCCCTAAATGGACACCTGCCCCAGATTAGATGTGCCCGTTAGTGTGCAGTTCAAAACACCTGCAGTCATGACACCTTGGAGGGCTGCTGGACGAAGTGGAGTGGTGAGAACCATGGCTCCAACAAGATAAATGTCCCTTGAAACAAAAGAGAGGATTGTGAAACTTCTTGAAGAAGGTATTTAAACTAAATATTTAGCTCTGGGTTAAATAATTAGCTTCTAGCTAAATATCTCATTAAATA